CCTCTGCATTTTTGAATCTATGTATTCGTATATGCAATAAATCTATCTATCTAGTAAACCACATGGTAGCAGCTTTTGGTAGATCAACATCCCGAAAATACACTTTTGCTGCCGAGGTGTTGACAATCGCACTTTCGCCATGGGGATCCTTGTCGGACGTCTTTTTAATCCTCACAACACTAGCAGGCGTAATCGAATCTGCACCTATTGTTTGTTTGGAGGTTTGGAGTCCTACAACTTGTTCATCAGTCAGATCAGGGTCTATTCCCAAAACTACTCCAGTTTTGATAACTTTGAAAATGGGAATTCCCGCCACCCAATTAGGGTTTACACTTTTAATTCCCTCAACTAATTCGTTAGCTTCTACCCAGGTTTTAAACGTGAGAGCAATTTTCTCCTTATCAACTTTTTTAATGAGAAGAAGTTTATTCATATAAGCACGGAATTTTAATCCCACCTTTTGTAGATGGAGATTACCGAGGTTGTGTTGTGATGATGTAGCGGTCGAGGCGTCCCATATGTAAACAACGTATGGAGGATAAGATTCCGCAGTGTATTTAAACGTTTCTACCGAGTTAATTTCACCTTGCATATTACAGTTTTTCTTATTTGGAATTTCTTCAGTGTTCTCTTGGGGTATACTACCACTCTTTCTTTTGGCCATTCGAACAGTTATTTATTGTTCTCACAAAAACTATTATCCATTCACTTCGTTGCACAAACTCTTAACAATATTGCTATCTTTAATAACTTATATTGTCGTCGATTCAAACTCAGAGCACCGCTCACCACCGAAGTCGGAACGGAACTCTGATCTCTATACTAACTGGATGATCTGTCCTTATGGGTCCAGCACGTTGGAGTTCAGTTGAATTGAAAGCTCACCCAGCGCCCCTAGTACCGGACAGGGTACTTATCGAGACCTCAATGCGCGTGCATCAACGTTCTTGTGAAATTGTGGGGATGGTAATTTTACCGTTCCTCCATAACCACCAAGTAATTTTTGGAGCATGTATGAATTAGCCTTGATTTATTTTATTATTTGTTTTCTGAGACGAAGGAACCCGCAAACAATGATGCAATTTGTCTTTTACCGAAAAAGAAAAGGAGAGTGCAAAGATTTATCATTTCAGGAGTAAGTGTATATTGTCATATTATAGGTATAACAATCAGATCGTTAGGAAGTCAACCTTAACGGAGCTTCAACCGATAAAATGCGTAGCACATTAATTTTTTTTAATGTAACACTTTAAATTCACGTTTATTGTTATTTTTTCTCTCACCAAGGTTTTCAAAAAAAGAAAAATTAAAACTAACGTTGGTCTAGAATATGGGTCTGGTAAATTTCATACCGAAGCAATATGATACATTATGCTCTTTACATTTTCCAAAAGAATCTATTGAAATATAATAGATTTGAGCAATCTCCAATCGTCATATTTGCTTTTCATCTCCAAACACATATTGTACATCAATGAGATATTGTACATCAATGAAAGAATATCTATTTTCTTTTAAATTTCGTACAGTATTGAAATAGTAAAATATGAAAGAAATTTCTCAATCCTGATGGTAAAATGACCACGCCCCACTCCGCACTACCAGAGCCCCGCATGCGCATTAACGCCAAACTCAATACCCTGTCCCTATTTCCATAAAATAGGAAATTTCCGGCCTAGCAGAGAGCCTGTAGTTCAATCAATGACGCTCCACGTGCAGGAACATTTTTGGCTCGAAAGTACTTGTTTTAATTCAACTAGTTCGAAAATGACTAAAAGAAAAATGATAACATGAATTATCAAAAATCCTCGTTATTTTGTTCTCTCACTTTAACTTTATGGCGAAAAATGAAAAATCGACCCGTAACGTTGTTCTGACGACACAACGGGCTGTTAGCTTTTGTAAAGTAATATTTTATCGGTAATAGACATTGTTTTATGGCAGTGGCTATTCACACTCCTGTGTGAATCCCTCCGGTACACTCCGTACACTCCGTGGGTTTTTCTGGGTGATTCACGCAGATATGGAGTAGTTCATTGGGCATTAAATGTAGATAGTGGAATGAGTGAGATCCGAATGGAACCAGGTAATGGAGTTTGAGTGATTCATGCAAGAGTGAGCGGAGTGGTTCACGCAGAATATTTTCTGTTCGGAGTGATTCACGCAAGAGCGAGTGGAGTGATTCACGCAGAATATTTGCTCTTCAGAGTGATTCATGCATGAGTGAGTAGAGTGATTTATGCAGCATTTGCATAGATGTGAGTGAGTCACGCAGAATATTTCTGGAGTGCTTCACGTAGAATATTTTTTGCTAGGAGTAATTCACGTAAGAATGACTGGAGTGGTTCACTCAGCACTTACATAGATGCGAGTGATTCACGCAGAATATTTTGTTAGGAGCGATTCGCGCACTACCCGCAGCATTAGCTCAAATGGATGCAACGGAACGTACGAGTTCAGGCTCCATTCAGAAAATCCTGTTAGCGGAGGAGGGGGATGAAATAAAGCTAGGCACACAGATGACCCTAGTGATTTACGCAAGGGTGACTGGCGTGGTTCATGCAGCACTTGTATAGATGCGAGTGATTCACGCAGAATATTTTCTGTTCGGAACGATTCACGCAACAGTGAGTGGAGGGGTTCTCATATTCTGCGTGAACCACTCCACTTACTCTTACGTGAATCTGTCCGAAGGGAAAATATTCTGCGTGAACCTCTCCACTCACTCTTGCGTGAATCACTCCTAAAAGAAAATATTCTGTGTGAACCACTCCACTCATTCTTGCGTGAATCACTCCGAACAGAAAATATTCTGCCTGGGATTATCTGTGTGACTAACTTTACTTTATTCTCCCACCTCCCCCCTCACAGGACTATCTGATTGGGTCCTGGACTCTTCCGTTCCGTTGCATCCATTTGTGCAAATGCTGCAGGTGTTGCGTGAATCACTCCATTTAGAAAATATTCTGCGTGAATCACTCCACTCACTCGTGCGTGAATCACTGAACAAAAAATCTGCGTGAACCACTCCACTCACTCTTGCGTGAATCGCTCCTAACAGAAAATATTCTGCGTGAATCACTCGCATCTATGCAATTACTGAGTGAACCACTCCAGTCACTCTTGCGTGAATTAGTCCTAGCAAAAAATGTTCTACGTGAAGCACTCCAGAAATATTCTGCGTGACTCACTCACATCTATGCAAATGCTATATAAATCACTCTACTCACTCATGCATGAATCATCCCGAAGGGCAAATATTCTGTGTGAACCACTCCACTCACTCTTGCGTGATTCACTCAAGCTACATTACCTGGTTCCCTGCGGGTCTCACCCACTGCACTATCTACATGCAATACCCGATGAACTACTCCGTGCCTGCATGAATCACTTAGAAAACCCCACGGAGTGTACGGAGTGTACCAGAAGGATTCACGCAGGAGTGTGAATCGCCACTGCCTTGTTTTATATTTCTGCAAATTGAATAATTATATAGGAAAGCGAATTATTTTGAAACATAGTGAATATTGAAAAAATTATTTCATCAATTTCTATTCCCTTGAGAAATGCCGGAGTGAGGGGAGATAATCCAAGTCTAGTGGAGAAGGGATACTTCAAACATACTGCCCTCTTACAACCTAGTTCCGAAATACTTTTGCGGAACAGGCTGGAGAACAATGCTTGGTATTACTTTCCTCTATCATACCTTATCAGCAACCTGAATTGCCTCTACTTACTGCGGGACTTCGATCCGCTGGGATTTTGACGTGTACTTTAGCAAATCTGCATTCGGGCGTATCCGCGATCGCACCATCTTCTTTGCGGTGGCACACAAAATCCACCAGAATTATTCGGATGCTTCCTTTTTCGAATGAAATAAAAATATGAAAGATTTCCATAGCGGTCAAAGATATTATAGAGCGTATGACAAGTCTTTCATAATCGAATTCGACCACATATTTCTGTCGAAATAAGCAACTGTCTGCCATTGAGCAGTTCGAATGTCAGGGCATATAGAATATGTAGACATACATATGCCTAAAAGAAAAATGATAACATGAATTCTCAAAAATCCTCGTTATTTTGTTCTCTCACTTCAACTTTATGGCGAAAAATGAAAAATCGACCCGTATTGCATATTTATATTTTTGAAAAATTCATAAGCTCAGGCATTCCATGATTCGTATACTCATATTATTGAGAAAATTGATATTCTAACAGAAGATTAATCGTAGTATATCAACCCATTAGAACAAACATCTGTATGAAAGATGATATTCAGGCGTAATACACATTTGGTAAATACAGTTATCGTTGGTTTCTCCTTCTGAATAAATATTGTTATGGCTATGATAGTATCGGAGACTGAGTTAATAGATTAAATTCTTCATTCAGATAAAAAAGATGTGGATACAAATTTGGATTCTACCAATTAATCATTAGAACAAGTAAGGCTGATGGCAGTGTAATAGAAGGCAAAATGTCTCGTCTGATAATTCATGATGTCTGTAAAATGTCATATTGAAAAATAATGTTTTCCAATCTTTCTCAACCATAGGACTTTTTGTTCATCTACAATGCTATTGTGTATGGAATATTTAAATCCGTGGAAATCGATAGTTGTGAATTCATATACAACAACTTAATATATATTATAATATATATTTCCACTCGCAAAAATATATTTTTTATCAGCTCATCGATTGGGTCAATCGATCTATCTGTTAGTCAAATAAGTATGACAAAAACTATGTAGATCAGTGTCTCAACCGAGCATTGATGAATTCCAGTCATTTAAAAATTGAATAATCACAGCCTAAAAAATTTCTTGTTTGATAATATGCATTCTGACGTTTGAAAGTTGGCAAATTTGGCCCAAACCCTGAAAGTTTCCGTATTTCTAAAAACGGTCTCGACAATTTCTGAATCTGTGTTTCCTTCATTTTATCGATAATACAATAATTATTTCAACTTATGATTTGAGCAAAATTTTCTTTCAGGTTTGGCATTGGCTATGAGTCGCGATGGAAGCAGTGGAGGGGTGATCCGCATTGGAATTATTACAAAGAACGGTGTGGAACGTCGACTGATTCTGGGTGATGAAATCCCCAAGTTTTACGAAGGATAATTACATTTAAACTCAAGCAGCTCCGTTCTGTTTTCCTTGATCCCTTCGTAATAATTAATGTTTTGTTCGACCATACATTTATTAATCCCGGGTGTAATAAACATATTTGCTAATCAATTTTTTTATGTTGTTATTCATATCTGTATTTATCATTGGTGAATTATGGATCAAGAGAAATCGGAAAAAACGATGCCTTCGGAAGAGATTTTGTTTTTATTTAATATCATATATGATTCATAATCTGTAGGGGTTGGAAGGTTTTAGGGCCATAACATTCAGTGTTCACAAAAAATTACGGGTCTGGGCGTTCAAAGAGGCATGAGGTCTGAGGTTCTAAAGATTAGAAGGTCAGATTACTTAAGGGTCTAAATCCACGAAGCCCAGAATAATTCTCCCCTCAGCTATCTACTCTCTAAAAGTACTCATGAGTAGAGAATTGGCCCTATCAGTCCAACTCTCCACGAACTCTCAACTTTCTCTTCACTCCAGGAACAAATAGAGAGTCAACTCACTCTCTACTAGCAGTCTACAGGTTCCGTCAGGGTTTGTTTTTAATCATGAAATCTCTCAACTTCAAAGAATGGATGAAGCAAGTACGTGGGTTGAGGATCGTGTCCTATGTTTTCGTGAACTTTTTTTTAAATATATCACAATGAAAATTCTATTTTCAGTATCTTCTTCATTTGTGAGTCCAGAGTCTACTGAGCGACTATCTATGTTGATGTTATGGGGATTTCAGTAGAGAAATCCTACGCCGAGGTCCAACATAAAAGAATATATTCCTTGTAATAAAGGATCCACAAGTTATGGGGTCAAAAAATTTGAGAACATTGCACAGGTGAGCAGAAGAAGAAGTCCCGTGATGAACCAAACCCAGAGTTCACTCTGGGTTAACTCTGGGTTCATGGAAATTTCACAGAATTTTCTCTGGGTTTTTTCCATGAACCCAGAGTTAACTCTGGGTTCACTCTCGGTTTGATCTGTCAGGGTCTCGTCATAATTATGACTGTCAACACACGTTTTGTTATTAAGACAATGAGGAAGGTTTTTTTCATTCGGTTAATTTTATTTCTGCAGCATATCGAATTGTTATTGGACCCGATTAGCAATTCTCACATACCAAAATAGACTATTTTCGAACAAAAGAAACGGAATCGATTTTTAATCAGGATTATTGCTCAATAATGATAAATGATGGCGGATCTCATCGTAATTATTTCGATAACGAACTTCTGCACTTATCAATACTTCTACATCTTCCGGGATTTGTTTTATTACGGTAGCAACATTCAGAGTATAATTAAAATTTATTTTGAAAGATTGAATATTTAAGTAAAAACTGTATAATTCACGTTCATGACCTAGTATTACGATTTACATTAATTGATGTAGTTCTTAAGCAAAAATCTATAAATAAGAATGTAACGGAATGAATAAAGGTGAATTTTTTCCAGATTTGTTTATTGAATTGTAAAAATAAATTTTAATTATAGGATACCCGCCTCCCTTCCTCATGCCCCAGTGACTCCATGATGGAAGCACTCTGGGACCACTGTGCCGTCACAACGTGCATTCTGGGTTTCAAATTGACCTGCACGGATTCGTCACAAACGCGCCACGGCGTGCGAAGCATTTTGTGGACTCCACGTGACATCCGTGTGCGGACGTATCCGGTCATCCCGGTGCCCTCACCTTTTTTCATCGCGTGAACGCACCGTGCGGCCATAGTGGCTCCACTTGTGTAACGTCCCGACGTTGAATTTTATATATGGTACTATTTATCGGCCATTTTAATCCGCGAGATTTGAATTATTATTTCAAAATGAATATAAAAAGTCTGAAATTTGAGAATGCCAAGAAAATGGTCGAACAGAGGATAATGAACAATGGACAAAAAATAATTTGACGAGTGTAAGAAAAACCGTTGCCAGCAATCGTAAATGTCAAGTACTTGAGTTGAGTTCTCAATTTATTACTCTCCAAAATTCGTTACAGAAAGGCTTTTCCTGAAAATTCTAAACTCAGAGAGAAAAATAAACACATCGGTCACAGTCGTAAAATCGTAAAATCTCAATTCTGGTATATTTCGAAAGTTTCTCTGTTTCAAGTGGTCCACACGTGTTTGGGTTCTCCTTTGTTCATTGTATTCCTACGCGGAGGGCCTGAGACCCCTCAAGAGGAAAACTGGCGACGTCGCACGCTTTCCCTTCCTCCCTCTTTTCATTTCCCCTGTTCTGTTTTAGCATACCCCTCTTCCCTTTCCTCTGGGCCAGGATTGCGCGCGCAACTTTTTGGTCTAGTGGAGGTGTTTTGAGCCAACCCTTAGATTTAAAAACTTAAGTTTAAGTCAGTCCCATCGTGGCTGTTGTTCCGACTTTTTTTCAAGCTTCTCTTTTCAAGTAGTTTTTCTTCAGAGTTTTTATGANTTTTCAAGCTTCTCTCTTCAAGTAGTTTTTCTTCAGAGTTTTTATGAGTTTTTATAAGTTTATTAGAAGTTCATCCAGTTTGTAGTCCAAGTTTTAGATTTTTGAGTCAAGAGTTATTTTGAATAAAAGTGTTAATGTGCTCTCCTAAGCACTGGTGTTTGGATTTATTCATAAATAAACCTTCAATCCAATTATCCTATCATTGAACGTGTCAACATCGATGGAGTCCTCATCAGAGGTTTAGCGGCTAACGGATCCACACTTCAAAGTTTGGCGCTCAATATTCCAAATGGCGCTACTGTCCTCCTAGTAACTTGGATAGAACATGACAATTGGTGACAGCGGTGGGATAGTCGCATTCATCGGAAGTGGAATTAGAATTTTTGAATTCAATTAAATATTTTTCCTGTCAACATCAGGGTTGAGTGAACCGGAGTTCCGGCAGTTCCAGCTAAGAGGTCCAGGGCGGTTGCAGCCAGGCAGTTTCCAGAGGATTCATCGAGCAGAATAAAGTGCGAAGTGGAAGCGAAATTTATGGGCAATTAGTGAATCAAAGAGAAAATTATAGTGACAAGTGAAACAATTGTCTAGAAATAAGTATCATTTTTGAGGATGGACAAGTCAGGGTATTGGTCAGGTTTTCTACGGTTTTACTGAGTAGTAGCGAGATACACTGATCGGGCCGCAGCCTCGTCCATGCCTAGTAGAGAGAGCACAAAATTTTCAGTTCAGATAGTTTTTCTAGAAGAGAGAAGCATTTATTAGGATTTTTAAANTAGCTGTAATTCGTAAAAGAATTGTAAGTCTAGAAATAAGTATCATTTTTGAGGATGGACAAGTCAGGGTATTGCTCAGGTTTTCTGCGGTTTTACTGAGTAGTAGCGAGATACACTGATCGGGCCGCAGCCTCGTCCATGCCTAGTAGAGAGAGCACAAAATTTTCAGTTCAGATAGTTTTTCTAGAAGAGAGAAGCATTTATTAGGATTTTTAAAATAATTATTTCACTAAAATGCCGCCTGTCAGAGGAGCTACCAGGGTAAGTACAAGAAGGGGGGAATCTGTACACACGGGAAATGTTAGGGACCCATTAGATTCAGCGAGTGATGTTTCAAGTAATGGCACAAATAATGTGTTACAATCAGAATCAGTATCAGGAAATCGAGCGAGTACGAGCAGCCAAGAATCTCTGCCTTCAATGTCCATCAAAGATATTTCAAACTTAATTCCAAACTTCAATGGAGACAATATCCCAGTAAACAATTTCATCGATTTGTGCAAACAAGCAGTTTAGCTTGCATCACCGACTTATCACACTTATTTCATACAATTGATAAAATCAAAGATTTCCGGTAGAGCCAGCAAATATATTGCAAATCAGACTACTTTGACTCTTGACAGTATTTTTGCTAATCTAAAACAAGCATTTGCACCTCGCCAGACACTTTCTCAATGTCAGGGTCAACTGGCAATTATTCATCAAAAACCGAAAGAAGACNGTTTGTTGGTAAATAAATTATATAATTGACTATGTATTCAGTATTTCAATTATCAGGTTGAAAACTGAATTGGTAATCAGTGAACCAATTCTCGAATTGGCAACTGACCAAATAATGGAAAATTTGTTGGTTGCGATTAGCAACTATTGAAATAATTGGAAATTGGTGAAGTATGATTACGNATGTATTCAGTATTTCAATTATCAGGTTGAAAACTGAATTGGTAATCAGTGANAGAGAAATATCCAATTGAACTTTCAGCCGGGCTTTTGGCGACAACACAAGAGGGAGCTCGCGATAGTTTTATTCGCGGTTTGAGGGGTGAGTTGAGTTCACAAGTTTCAAATGAAAAACCGATAAATTTCGAAGCAGCAGTTAAAATCGCGATTGAAAAACAAAAAGAGATTGAACGTATCGATATTTTCAAGCACGAGCAAAATAAAATTTCAAACAACACAGAAAGCCAGGACAATCGCCCCTCTGANAATAATTGGAAATTGGTGAAGTATGATTACGGACTTATGAAATATTTGAGAATTTGTTTACGTGATTATTGATTTTAAAAGTAGTATAATAATTTACAAATATGGACTCTAATTTGGAATTTCTGAATTTAATGGTAATCAAAATTTGTAAATATGACGATCCCTGCTCGTTGCAAGAAAAAGGTGGGAATCAAAGTATTGAACACAAATAAAACAAGGATATTTACCACGATTAAATTTGGGAGAAAATCTTTATGGGGGAGAGGCTTTAGTAACCAATAATAAAGGTATTATGTGGATTTATGTAATTAATTGCAACAAGGAAGAACGAGAACTCAATATTCCTGCTNATAATCCACACAATCGATCACACAGATCAGCCAGAGTAAATGTTACACAGACTCAGTGTTCAGGTAATAATACAATGAGAAATCAAACAATTTGTTATGCTTGTGGGAAAACGGGCCACATGATGAACCAATGTCACAGTCAGTATAAACCGGGTTATTGTGTTAATTGCAAAGTGACTGGGCATTCTACACGCAATTGTCGTTATAATAATTCTAACAATGTCAATAGACAAAATTCTCAGTCAAATTCTCCAAACTCCCTCAAATCCGCGTCGATTAACACCAATCAAGCTGAGCAGATGACACTCCCTTGTGTCACTATCACAAGTGATGATTTGATAAACATGAAAAATTGACTC